AGTAAGAAAACCAGAAGGAGAGGCTGACCAAATTCTGTTATCCAAACAAGACTGATCCAGGAACAAAGTATTAAGAAGGACAATGAGATCATCAACCATTCCCATTTCAAACTCCCTCAACCTCTCCCCAAATCCCAAGAATTATCATTTAGGTAGACGGATGAAATTGTTTTTTCTTTATTCAATGAGAGGGAGTAAATAGACAGGAATATGTCTTTGACAGTGATATCCCCAAACCAGGCATCTTCCTAGAAATGCATTTCATTTCCCGCACAAGCATCAAATCTAATATATGGGAGAAAGGAGCGCAAGATGGCATGGATAGCTTTCCAAGGAGATGATCGAGATGCCCTAGGATCAAGACCAGCATCCCACCTGTTTTCTTCAATCCATGTATATACTCACTATTACTTTGTGCCACAAGTTGTCCTGTTCAGGAGGTAGTCTCCACAACCACTTCCCTAACAAAGTTGTGTTCCTTAGCTTTATGTTTCCTATACCCAGCCCTCCACTATCTCTACTTCTAGATGCCACCTCCCACTTCACCAAGTGATCTTTCTTTGTATCCCTTGGTTCCCACAAGAAATCCCTCATTAATTTCTCAAGTTTATTGGCCACACTAGTGGGGATCTTGAAAGTAGAGAGGAAGTAAATTGGCAAGTTTACCAATGTTGACTTTATTAGAGTAACTCTTCCTTCCAAAGCAATGTAACTTCTCTTCCACCCTGCTAGCCTCTTTGAGAATCTCTCTAGGACCAGGTACCAAAAACTTTTTGACTTTGGGTTTCTCTCCTAAAGGGAGTCCTAGATATTGTAACAGCCATTCACTAACTTTGCATCCCAACACTCGAGCAAGGTTTCCCACCTCTTCAATTACCCCTACCACATAGCTCTTACCCCAGTTTATTTTGAGAATAGAGACCCTTTCAAAATGAGTCACCAACCTCTTCAAATTGATCAATTCCTCCTGTTCCCCTTCACAAAATACAATAATGTCATCCACAACTGTAAATGAGTAACTGCCATTGCTTCCCTCCCAATTCTCCAACCTCTAATCAAGTTATTAGTATCAGCCCTAGCAATCAAATCACTTAAGATGTCAGCTACTAGGGCATTTATCAAATAAGAAAAGATGTCGGCTATTATGGTGAACAGAAAGGGGGAAAGGGGATCTCACTGTCTAAGACACCTCTTGGCTGGGAAAAGTCCCTAGCTACCCCATTAACCAAAATGGAATAGTGACAAGAAGAAGTACAACCCTTTATTCACTTACACCACCTCAATTCAAAACCCCTACACCTCAAAACTTGTAGAAGAAACTCCCAATCCACCAAATCATAAGATTTCTCTATATCAAGTTTACAGACCAAGCCTTTCTCCTTTTTCTGACCCTTGTATTCCACACATTTATTAGAAATGAGAATTTGATCAACTATTTGTCTCCCAAAAACAAAGGCACCTTGGTTTGGAGAAATCAAGGAAGGACTTTTTTAATCCTTTCGGCCAACACCTTGAAAATGATTTTATACAAACTTCCTACTAGGCATATAGGTCAAAAATCCTTCGGGTGGATTGCTTCTATCTTCTTGGGAATCAAAGCAATAAAGGTCACATTAGCTCCTTTAGGTGGCTTGTTTTCTTTTTTTTAATTAAGAAAGGTAAAAGATATATTAACAATGAAAGAAAAAGATGAGACAAGACCGATCAAATAGGATCCTATTGAAAGGAAAGGGCTGTTTAAAAAAACATAACATAACAAGTACAAAGAGCACAAAGAGGGCCCACAACAAAGGAAAGCTTGAAAACCAACACAAAACTAGGAAGTTGCATTTGAATTGAGATTGTTTCTTCAAAATTCAATTTTGAAATTTTCAGAAGCTTACATGTAAAAGAAGCATAAACCACTATTTGGCAGTAGAATACTTTTTTTAGAAAAAAGTATTGTATTGATTGTGTAACTTGGGATGCTATACATGGGATGAAGCCTCCATAAAAAGATATGTGAAAAGAAAATTACAAAAAGATCAGTTGAAAGATTCAATGCTTTTGCCGAACAGAAAACTTTTGCTAGCATGCTGTGTATTACTTCATCTATTTGAGAGGATTTGCCATAAAAAATTCTGCTGTTATCCAGATAGACCAAAAGACAGCTGTGGGTAGCAAACCCCAAATAGCTTTGCCAATACTAGAAAGATCACCAATGCACCAGCTGCTTAAGAAGTTGATAACAGTTCTGGAAAAAAAACAGTTTAGAAGCAAGATGACCAGCAAATGATTGCAAAGGAGCCTGTTCTTCCCATGCAGCATTGCATTAGGGGCAGTTGGGAGAGGAGAATGGGATGCCTTTCTTAACTTGTCTTTGGTGAGACATTTACCATGAGCTGCAGTCCAGACTAGAAAAGCAATTTTAGAAGGCATTTTACGTGCCCAAACTACCTTGTGAAGGAAGGAGGGTCTGCCCATACAGCCATACTTAGGCACTGCATCATAGATTTGACTGAATCAGTTCCCTTTTTGTCCCACTTCCAAATTCAGCTATCCTCTTCAGTCTTCAAAATCTATAGGCTGGAATTGTCAGAGATAGACACATTTCTTCTAGACTCTCAATTTCCCTGTCAAATAGGTTTCTCCTACATATGGGAGACCAAGAGCCATTTAATCCTTCACTGGAGAAAATCTTAGCTACAGTTGCCTCTTTATTGGTGGTTGCATCAAGTAGGCCGGGATAGGAACCAACCAAAGTTCTATAGTTTTTTAGTGATGCTTTCTAGGAAAAGAGCTTGGATCTTATGGATACCCTTCCAAACTGCAATGGTGGTGGTACAGGTAGCCTGGTTACTATCCCAACCTCCATTAGTAAGTCCATACTTATTTACAATCAACTGATTCCACCAACTATTTCTCTCAGCATTGAATCTCCAATGCCACTTACTAAAAAGAGTGGTGCTTAAGTTCCTAATTCAATAAATGCCAAGACCAACCATCCATTTGGGGGAACAAATGTTCGCCCAATCAACTAGATATGTTTTATTTTATCATCTCTCCACCCCTTCCAAAGGAAATCTCTTTGGATCTCAGGCTGTTACTTTTGAGGGGATTTTAAACATAGGGAAGTAATGACTTGCTTGGAAACAGACTCTCTGTGTATCCACAGTGGTAAGGCTAGGTACATCTGTCCCCCCCCCCAAGACCTCACATTGGCAGGAGCCTTGTGCACTGCCCTTTTTTAGATGAGTAATGACTTGGGAGTCTTGAAAGAATGCTTTTGATTAAAGTTAGTTTAGTTCCCCCCCCCCCCAATCCCCCCTTTAGATAGACATCTAGCTCTCCAAGATGACAATTTCTTTTTTCCACCTCTTGATTACTGGGCCCCAAATGGAGCAGGAGGAGGAGAGATGGTAGTTTCCATTGTTAAATGATGTGCCCTCAAATCATTTCCCACTATGTCAAACCATGCCCTTTTTGGTTGGCCCCTAGCTCTCAATTGGGTCTGAATACAAAGCACGTATAATACCATCCTTGTCTCTTATCACCCCTCCAATTCCTGAAGGACCTGATTGCCCAGACTACTAACATCCAACAGAAGTATTAGTTCATCAATCTACTGAACCTAGTATATGAACTAGTCATGAGCACGCTCAATTGACTTCAGCTTTATGTTCTAAACTCCAAAGTTATTCCCATTATCTGTCTTGGCCTCCAACTTCCTCTCAAACGTCAACACAATAAAGAGACCATGAAGGAGAACAAATGAAGTGAAACCTTCTCAAAAGGGGGAAAAAATTAAACAAATGAAGTGAAACCTCCAATGATCCCCTCCCTTGGCATCTGAAATGGTTGCAGTAAGCCAGTAAATGGCATCAAGGAAGCATGATGCCAACATGCAGATGAATGTACGTTAACTAATTAACATAGTGATAAGGGAAACAACTCTTTTATCTTCTTATTCATCATTTGGGAAACTATTGTTTTAGATGCTGGGATGATGAAAAGGCGTATATAATTGGAGACTCGGAAAATACATAAATTGACTGAAGTAAGAAATGTTACTGAAGACGAAAGAAATTCAAACAGGGATTATGAAGTAGACATTAAGGGAGAGGCAGGCAAGGGAGGATGTGAAAGGGAAAAGTTAGATGTTTATTGTTATGTTTGTCAAGCATTAGCTCAAGAGCTTATCATTAGGTGTTGGTTGAGTCTTGTGATGTCTGTCTTGGTTCAGTTAGTGTTGGGGGGGGGGGGTGCTGCTTTTATTTTTTCATCACTCTGCCTATGAAATTTGTGTTGGTTTAAGTCCCCATTTAAGAGATATGTTTCTCTTTTCTTTTGTGATGAATATTCTTTCTTTCTCTCTTTCTCTCTTTTGGCCTTTTGTTTTTCTTATTTCTCTTTGATCTTTAAAGAAAACTATTAAATTTTTTTTATTAAAGAAAAGCAAGATCTTAATGGTACCAACTACCAATATCCTCTTAGAGACAAGTTTCTTCCCCAAGGAAATTATCCTATTATCCCAAGTATCTGATTCTCTATAATTCATGCTTCAACGTTCAAATCAAGCCCTAAGATCACCAAGGCATTTATTGGACATCAGACCTTTTATTATAAATGTTGTTGAACATCAGACTTACAACTTCTGGATACAAGCTTTGAAGCAAACTATCAAGGTAAATAAAATTTTTTAAATTTCATGAAAACAAATGTTGCCATATGGTAAAATTATTTTTGCAGCTACCCTTCAGTTTCTCTAAGTTCCTTTTACTATTTCCATTTTGCTCCATCTTATCAATAAAATCCATTGTTATCATTTTAAAGACTATACAAGGGAAAAAATAGCAAAGAAACACGAATCAGAAAGATACTGCAGAAATGGGAAAAGAATAAATCAAACAAAGATGTAACGTCAGATTAAAAATAATCAAGTACCAAAAAGCATGGCTAGCAGATAGAACACTTTATTGATCAAGAAATGCATCCATGTAGGGTGACAAGAGTGTACATACCTTAGTGAAAACCCTAAGTAATAGAGGGCAAGTCTGCATTTAAAATAAGATAATTCTCGTGAATAAGAGTTAAAAGTTAAAACACAACAAGTGAAAAATAAGAGTAAACAAATTAAACAAAGACATGTTTTTGATCGGTAACAATGTAAAGCAAGGCATGGTTCCATAAAAGAAGCAGTATGCAGTACTGAAGTTGGGAGAAAGAGGCAGAGCTTGTGATTGCATGCAAAAATTCATAGACTAGCAAAAAAGCTATGCAGAAATCCCTCAGCAAGCTAGATGAGAATTTGATTAATTTTCCCAACTTTTTGTTTAAACAAAACTACTTAGTTATTCAAACAGTCAAAACTAGGTGCACATAAAATGAGAAAAATAAACATCAAATTCAAAAATAATGTACACATTTCTAATATTATATGAATTGGCAGATAATTTCCGCTTAGGACAGTTTGCTGCAATACAAATTAAGGCATCTTCCAAAGATTCCCAAGTTTAATCTGACCTCTGTTTACTTCTTTATATCTTGACATTTAAGCAACCTACAAGAAATAGCAGCCGACTTGCAAACTTCAAGAATTATTCGCTCCACGAGATAATTCATAGTTATACTTGGAGGACATTTTCTAGATGTTAACCTAACGCTCCTGGAAACCACCAGAATAAGCAACCTTATCAACAATCTAGAGAGGAAACATACTCTATTCACCAAAGTATTGCATAGTTGAAACGAACCCCCCTAAAAATAGGCAAGTACTGAGCTGAATCTGGCATACATCATCAACCGATAACCAATATTCCAAAACCTTCCAACTTCTCTCCCTCTCAATGAACTGAACTCAGTCTCCCACCATATCATATTTATAAGCCCTAATGAGGTCGTCCAAAACGTGACAAAACACTATGACATGTATGATATCTATCAAAGAAAAAAGGAAGGAAAACGGAAGAATAATCCAATGATTCCAACTTCGAAACGAGATTAACAAACGAGAGGAAGAAATAGTGATAGGAAGCAAGAGGCCGAACCTTCTCACGATCGACAGGCTCAAAGCGCGGACGAGCAGGAGGTGGAGGCCCTCTAGCCTGAGGAGGAGGAAGAGGTCTGGCCGATCTATTTGGAGCTTCAGCAACCCCCGCCATCTTTGTTTCTCTGTTGTAACTTGCAAGCCCTGCTGCTTCTTTCTTCGATTTTTTTCCCTCTTCGGCTCTCTTTTGAGAATTCTCCGAGTCAGTCTACCCGGTGAACCGACGATTGACGACCGCGAGAGAACACCCAGTGCGCGCCTGTGAATATAATAGGGTTGTTAGATACAGGTAAAGACTAGAATGTGCTGTAAACTCAATATTCGAAATAATCGAATCGAATTCGGATGATTGAAATATTTAATCGGTCGAATTCGGATATTTTGTTTATATAAAAAATTAATTAAATTTAATTCGAATAATTAAAATATTTAATCGGTCAAATTCGAATATTTTATTTATATTGATCGAATGTAAATCGAATTGAGTATTTGAATATTTAATCGAATTCAAAAATTAATTTTCAATATTTATATATCAAATTTTTTAATCGGATTTAAATTCGAATATTGTTTTATTCGATTCATTTACAGTCTAGTGATGCGGCACAATATCACATCATAAATGGTGAGATCTGCTAGTTGACAAGGACCCACTTGAGGTTGCAAATAGAGATGCCCATAAAAAAAGCGAATAACCGAACCAGAAAATGCGGTTAGGTTCGGTTTTAGTTCAATATTTTTGAAAAAACGAAGGACCGGTTCAATTTTCTGTTAGCTAAATTGATCGGTATATAAATTTATATGTATTATACATATTTAATATATGCCACATATTATATATAATATATTATAAATATAAAAAACTAAAAAATTGAAGAAGAACCGGATCAGTTAAAACTGAACCCGACCAATTGGTTAACCGGTGGTATCGATTCGGTTTCGATTTGGAGAAATTGAAAAACCAATAGGACCGGTTCAGTTTTTAAAGAAAAAATGCCTATGATTCGATTAGTGGATCGTGGACACCCACAACTATATCGGATCAATCGAATTGGATAAGTATCTCAAAATTTGGTTCCTTTATACTTTGGGTTCTATTTTTTAACCGTGGGATTTACGTTGCATTTCAATCAAATTCGGATTGCAATTAGATACTAGTTAACTATTACGGAAAATTCCACTTTAGTATTATGAACTTTGGAGGTAGTGTCAAGTTAGTACCCAAACTTTCAAACGTGTTACTACAGTACCTAAACTTTCAAAAGGTGTCAAGTTGGTCCCTACCGTTAATCGACTATCAATTATCTATTGAAAATGTCAAAACTACCCTTCAAAAGAATATATTGTTCATTGCCTTCTACCTTCAGACTGAACCGGTTGAGGTGTTTGAGATTCTAGACTAATGAAATTATTGTCTTCTACCTTTAGATCTAAAACACATTCTTGTTTAGTTGTTTCTTTGCTTTCAATTATTGTTTCCCTCTATCATATTTCATGATTTCTCTCTCTTTTTCTTTGAAGATAATCGGCTCAATCTCATTGTAAAGGACAATGAACAATGTCTTCTTTTGAAGGGTAGTTTTGACATTTTCAATAGATAGTTGACGGCCAATTAACGACAAAGACCAACTTGACACTTTTTGAAAGTTTAGGTACTGCAATGACACATTTGAAAGCTCGAATACTAACTTGACACTACCCCCAAAGTTTCTTGGATTTTTCGAAGGTGATTGAATCACATCGTTTCTTGTTGTCATTGTTCTTGTAGATAGTCAAAATGGGTGGATCAGATGAGAACAATCCTGGTGTCTTAAGACCACAAATTTTCAAGGTAATTCCATCATATTTTATTACATTTCTGTTTTTATTTTTCTTTGTTACTATTTTTTTTCTTTTCGAGAGTCTAAGAGAGAGCAAACAATTGAAAATTTTTCACTTTTTGGGCTTCCATTTTCTTTATTAAAGGTGGTCTTCGGATGGGGGGAGGGAAGTTTGTCCCAAAGATTAGACACAACAGGAGGGCTTTGAGCACTATCAATCGAAATTTAGTTAGATATCCACCTTACCCTTGCGCAGTCAACAAGAGAGGCCTAGCAGAGTAATTTCTTAAGCCGTAGTCTCAAGTTCCATCTAGGCCTTTCTCTGAATCCAGTTGCCATTAATTTGTCTTTTTCCTAATTTGATCTTCTCTGTCTCCGAGAAAACATGCAACCTATGATAAGAATCCAACCACCAGTTCGTCGACCAACTGGGTTAGAAAGAAAAGTAGCTTGTTCATCACATGTCATTGGTGAATTTCTTATAATTGGCTTTTGATTTTGTTTAGGAAATTTGCTGCACAGATGGCCAACAAGCAGTAGCCTTGCCCCGAGGTACATTCTTAATACACCAGGAAAACAGAAAGTATGATTCATCACTGTTCTTTTTTTCTTTGATTAATCATTTTTCTCTGCTTTTGTTTTTTAATTTTAAAGGAGGTTAAGAACCCAATCCCCTTAGTTATGAATCCAAGTGTTTTGGAAGACTGTACCATCATAGATGTGGATGACTACAAGGGGAATAATGATTTCCCAATTCCAATGTTTGTGAAGCACACAAGCAATGCTAGAAGAAATTGATCAGATGGTATTTACTGCAGACATTATTTCCTTCTAAAATGGGTTTTGACCATGGAAGATTGAACTTTGACACTAAATTATGTTGTAGGAGGAGGTTGAAATGGAAGATATAGAGAATGAGGAGGCCATGATGGATATCGACGACTGTGATAAGAAGAACCCACTTGCAGTTTTAGGAGGAGGTTGAAATGGAAAATGGCGAGAATATAGATCATTTCCTGCTTACATGAACATAATGAGGGTTAGCAGGGGGTATACCCAAATTAGTTGCTGCAATGAGTTGTGGAGGCTATGTCCGAGAGGAACGGGAAATAGAGGAAAGCAAGAAGAAGAAAGAAGAGGAGAGAAAGGGGAAGGGGAAGAAGAGAGTTCGGGAGAGAGAGAGAGAGAGAGAGAGAGATAAATGTGAAGGAATTTGAGGTAGAGGGGATTACCACCACTATTGTTTGTGTATCGTGAGGTCGGGGAAGACGAACAATGTTTTTCGCCCAATTGTCTGAATAGTTATTACAAGGGTAGTATGGGGATTAAAAAATATTGCAACGGCCTTTTTGGACGAAAGGCTAACGGAAGGGGGTCTTTGTCTCACGGGCATAGTACAAGGGGGTCTTTGTCGCAAAACAAAGTACATGGGGGTTTTTTCCATAGACCCCATAGGACGGGGGGGGTCTTTGTAATTTACCCTTTTTTATTTTATATTTGGAATTTTAAGGTTAATTCTTTTAATTTTGACATTTTTCATGTAGTTTTTCTTTATTTTTTTTAATTTTACTTATTTTTTGGGATAACCCAAATTGAGCCATGGGTCAATACTAACTCGAACATTTAGGGTTAGGGTCTAGCATTTAATAAACCAACCCAAAATCAACCCAAAGCATCTTGACCCAACCCGAACCCGAACCCGACCCACCCAACCCAATTGCCAGGTCTAACTACTATGGTACCATTTTTGATGGTATCATAGATTATCCCCAATAAAAACATAGCATTAAGAGTCCGTTTGTTTGTAATTCCGTTTGTTTGTAATTAGAATCCAAAATGGAATTGGAAACGAAACCAGCCTGAATGGATTCTTTCCCAAGAGAGGGGATAGAATGACTATTCCACTTGGGAATGGGATTAGAATTCGAATTTTGCCCAACCAGATGGTTGGAGATCCATTCCAATTCCAATTCCATACCCCTATTCGTGCAAATAAAAGAGACCCTTAAACCAATTTCATTAATAAATAATATATATATATATATATATACTATTATAAAAAAGACGAATTTTTATTTGACATAAAATACCCTCCTCTTTTCCTGTTAAATACACATTAAAAAAGGGTAGAAAATATTGTTTTTTTTTAAATCTATTTAATGCATTGTGTTAAAAGATAATACTTCCCTATTAATTCCCTGCTAAACGTGCATTAGAAGACTATTCAGATGCCTTTGTTACTAAAAGCTTCAATATTTGTCAAGAAAAAAAATACCATATTAATTTAATCATGAATTTCTAGACAGAGTTAATGGGGTAAGATTGTTTTTACATCATCATATTGAAATCTGTATTTCACACCACATGCCACGTGGGACCGGCTGGTGAAGTTGGTAAATTTTGGTTCAGTTAATGTGGTGTAATCCAGTTTTTAAGAGTAATAATTATACCCCCCCCATAAGCCATTAATTTATCTCCCTTCCAAATCATACAAGTCAATTATTAATAATTTATTACTAAATTATCATTGATTCCACGTGCTATAAAATCTTCCTTTTGTTTTTTATGGAAAGTAAAAAACGAGAATAGCTGGGGATAAATATATTTTGGCTAAATTTTTGGACTTTTGGGAAGTGAAGAAATAAATATTTCTTCTAGAAACAAAGTTCTAGAGGCATGGTTTCATTGTGCTTGAGAATAATGGGCAACACAACACCCTCTCAGTCACACAACATTTTTTTGCATAAACATGTATGTTTATTCTGTTGTTCACAAGTCTTTTAAAGCATTATAACTTTTTTTATTGAAAAGAAATTAATGCAACCAGAATAGGTACGCATTTGTTTTATTTTTTTACTTCATGGGGCTACACGACTGGGGAGGGGGGAGTAGCTAAGGGTGTTAATGGACCGGTTTTGGATTGGACGGATCAGATGGACCAACAAGACATATTGGACCAATCTGGTCCAAAATATTTATCAGGTTGGATTGGACCTGGTCTGTTCGTAACAAATTTATATTGGATTGGGTTGGATTAAGCCAATATCTGGTCCATTGATATAAGATAAGAATATATGTGTCAATGGACTGGGTTTGGGTTGGAACCAATTTAAATCAAAATGAATAATTTGAACAGATTAGACGATCCAAACATTGAATTGGACCGGTCCAAATTGATCCAAAACATTCATTTGATTGGATTGGACCTGGTCCATTTATAATGGACTCACATTGGATTGGATCGGACTAGATCAAATCCAGTCCAATTGACACCCCTAGTAGCCCATCCTCCACCCCTTTAACCCCCCAATACCACCTGGTGGTGGTAGGGATGTCAATGGATCGGGTAGATGGTTTTTGCTTGCAAGAGACCCAGGCTCAACAAACTAAGGCCCTCAATGAACAGATTGGCCGATTGGAATCCATTTCAATTGTATTGAACCAGCCCATTTGGCACCTTTAAAATAGGTCCCCTTTCATGAGTCCAGATCTGCTACCTACAAG